GTAAGGACCACTCGGCTCTACGGACTCGTCCGAAGGTGGAGCTGAGAGCGAGTGATCTGTAGCCAGAGGAGTGGACTGTGGGGAGGACCAGGAGAAGCCGAAGCGCTGAAGAACCTGCTGCACCATGTGTGACTGAGTCAGGGTGATGGTGCGGCGTGCTCTGTCCCGGGTGATCTGCAAGCCAAGGTAGCTGCGCAGCTCACCCATGTCTGTGCACGTGTGTCTCTTCTGCAGCTCCGACTTCACCTGAGCGAGAGCCTCAGTGTCAGCAGTGGCAAAGACCAGGTCGTCGACGTACACGAGGATGTAGAACGGCGGCAGGGAAGTGTCGGTGCGCAGAAACAGCGACGGGTCTGCAGTCGAAGGAGCAAACCCAAGAGCCGCAAGTGTAGTCCTCAGTGTGTCGTGCCACTCACGAGGTGCCTGGCGGAGACCGTAGACTGGCCGCCGGAGGCTCCACTGGGTACCAGGAGGGAAAGACCCAGTGAAGCCAGGTGGGCGGCGCAGCCAGATCTCCTCGTGCAGGCTGCCTTGTAAGAAGGCTGTGCTGAAGTCAAGAGAGTGAAGCTCGTAGTCACGCTGAGCGGCAACGTGCAGCAGTACCCGAAGAGTGGTCATCTTCGGGGTGGGGGAGAAGGTCTGGAAGAAGTCAACTCCCTCTCGCTGACTGAAGCCTCTAGCAACGTAACGAGCCTTGAAGACAGGCGGAGAACCCGGCGGCCGCTTCACCCTGAAAATCCACATGCCATCGATGATGTTCGCCCCAGGAGGGGGAACCTCATCGACGTAAGTGCCTGTGGACTTCCAGGATGCCATCTCTGCGTCCATGGCTGTCTGCCACTGAGAGGAGTACTCACCCGCGATCGCCTCAGCGTAAGAGCGCGGGGTCGGGATGTCTGGTGCATCCGGGTCTCCCTCAGGGGCAAGCAGCATGGCCACGAGATGAGGCGCAGCAGCCGCAAGACACTCAAGGTCCTCGTGCCTATCCTCAAGGACGTCCGTGCTAAGAGCACACTCACCACCGACGGACGGAGGACAGACAGACTCAGACTCAGCAACAAGACTGGCAGCGAAGTCTAGACGACAGGCAGCAGCAAAGTCAACAAGCTCAGCGACTAGGGCAGACGCAGCAGCAGACTCAAACGACGGGTCAGTGACAACTGTGGCTAGCAGACGCGTGACAGTAGGGTGCTCAGTACGAAACTGGTCAGACTCAGGATCCGCGACGTCAGGCAAAGAGGACGCAGGGGGAGACGGAAGAGGAGTACGCTCCGGAGGGGAAGACCGACGCAGGGCTACAAGGGGTGTGCCGGGGACAGCCGGCTGACGCTGACGAGGAACACGACGAACGGTACGACAAGGACGAACAGGCGAGACAGGACGCGACGCAGGCTCACGACGCTCAGCAAGACTACCTGTCTGCTCAGTGTAAGGAGAGGGAGCAGGCAGCGGTGAGCCAGGCTGTAACGGAAGACCAGTAGACGACGGGAGAGTAACAACCTGACGAAGAGCAGAGTCAGGCGGCGGCAGAGACGACGGAGACGGCGGAGCGAAGAATAGTCGTGTCGGCGCAGCTGCACCAGCACCAGCAGCTCCAGCACCTCCAGTAGCTCCAGCGTCTCCAGCCGCTCCAGCACCTCCAGCAGCTCCAGAAGCTCCAGCCGCAGAACCGGTACCTCCAGCGCCAGCACCTCCAGACTCAGCGTCACCAGTAGCAGCACCCCCAGAACCGGCACCCCCAGTCCCAGGGTCTCCAGCCGCAGTGTCCCCAGCAGCAGCACCCGCAGGCTCAGCACCTCCAGCCCCAGTACCCCCAGTACGAGTACCTCCGAGACCAGCACCACTCCCAGCTCCAGTGACGTCAGCAGAAGTACCTCCAGCAGCAGAGCCCCCAGCTCCAGAAGCGCGACGCAGACGGCGACCGTACCAGTCGTGCAGCTGCTGTGAGGTGAGAGGCACACGTGACAGGAAAGTCCGACCGGAACCGCTCGCGGAGCTGGAGACGAACTGCGCGGATCCAGGGGATCAAAACAGCAGGGACGTCCCCCTTGCTCTGCAAGGGGAAGACCGTGGTGTAGCGCGTGTAGTCGTCGACGACCAGCAGGAAGTACCGCTCGTGGCCCTGTCCACGGACGCGGGCTGGGCCCCACACGTCCAGGTGGAGAGTCCGCAGTAGAGCCTCTATGGGAGGAAACGAGGAGGAGTGAGGAGCGACGCGCTGCCGCCCCTCGACGCAAGGAATGCAGGGCGGCGCAGGCGAGGGAGGGAGGGCAGGCAGAGACCTGGGAAGACCAGAAACCAGGGAGCGAGAGTGCATGCTACGCAGGCGAGGCAAGGAGGGGTGACCAAGGCGGTGGTGCCACAGGAGAGTGTCGTGCGACAAAGCGCGACACTCGCAGGGGGCCGCCAGCTGACCAGACGTAGACGCAGATGCAGCTACCTGAGGGGACTCAGTGGTCAGTGTGTACAGACTCGAGCCAGGTGCACGGGTGAACGTGGCCAAGTGTCGGCCCGTCCTAGCACACGTACAGTGAGTCACTCGCTGACTCGCAGGAGTGAACTGGTCAACCCCCCGATCCTGGAGGTCAGCTCCACTCACCAAGTTCGTAGAGAACAAGGGGAGGTAAAGACCTGACAGCGAGCCAGACGGGACGGCCGGACACGGCAGAACCGTGGAGTAGTGGGCAAGGACTGGACCCCCAGAGGGGTCCGCCAGGGAGACCGGAACTGGCCGACTAAGCGGCGTGAGTGTGGTGCAGTCGCGAAAGAAAGAGCGAGAAGCTCCTGAGTCAAGGGTGAAGGTGTGCAAGACCGCAGCAGGCGCAGTACCAGAGAGAGCAAACTCACCAGCACCTAGAGCAGCAGCCTCACCAGCACCTAGAGCAGGAGACGCACGAGCACCTAGAGCAGCAGCCTCACCAGTACCGTAAGCAGCAGGCGCTATACCAAGGTCAGACGGGAAGCACAGGTAACAGGCACGGTCAACACTAGTAGGTAATGCATACATGGCAGTGAGAATAGCATCATAGTCAAGAGCAAAGATATCTACCCTCTGTCCAAGCAGCTCCACCCAGGTGGGGAGCTCAGCCTCGTCGCCAAACTCGGTACGCCAGGCGTCGCTCAGACGGGCGAAGCAGCGGGACTCTGTGTGACCAAGCGTCCCGCAAGGCTGACCAGTCCGATCACCTGTGCGAATGACGTACGGGCAACGAACTGTACGCGTAGACCTGCTACTCTGAACGTACCACTCCTGGAGCTGCCGGGACGTAAGTGTCTCGCGTGGGCGCCGCTGCAGCTGCAGCTGGCCACTGCTACGCACGTATACTGTCGCGCACATTGTGTAGGTTCCAAGTCGACCACGTGCCGACGGTTGCACCTGACGAACCACGTCGACCACGTGCTGCCACGTCGGTCGACTTCGCCACAGCAGCCTCGACGACGTTCGCACATCTCCACAAAACCTTGTCGAGCAGGTAACTTGGTCGACCGGGTAAAGTCCCCGGTGACCCTGCACGTCGATGACCTCCGTCATCATCATTTATCGACGGTTTTACTGTGGTCCCGCGCAGGTCAACCAACTTCGTCGGCCTGCACGCCCAGGCTGGTGTCGATCTCTGCGGACGGTCGGCTGCACCTCCCACGCACCCGACCGCAGCTTCACCCAAGCGAGTGCGGGGTCAACTGCCTTCAGCAAATAATCATAGAGTTGTAATGGTTACACTGTTGGTGAAATTATGGTCATCAGATGAAGTTTCATGTAATCTACTTTCCAGGCTACAGGCAGACGGCCATGGCAGCGAGCTCGAGGTTGTCTCAATCCGTGGCTGCTTCATGTGCGCTAATGTAACCTGTCATTGAGTGAGTGTCAACCCTTAATAGCGCAACCCAACTTTATGTAGACACCAGTCTGTATTGTACTGAAGCAGGCTCACAAGAGGGGATGGCAGAATGTACTGTGCACCTGCGGCTTGGTCTGTGATCACTCACGGCGCGATTCTCGCTGGATTTCCCTACCGTACCCCGCGCGCACCATATTTCTGAACAAGGTCGAATAAGCTCTTTGCCGCGCATCGTCGTAAATATTCGCGAATTTATCTGCGGCACAAGCGGAACACAAAAGTTTCCGCACTCCACCTGGCGGGAAAACCAGCCCTCACTTCTCCAATCGGCACCTGCTCCAATCCACGCCACTGCCAGCGGTAGCACTCGCGAGCACCAGCCTTTCGTCCCCAAGGTGTATTGTCCATTGTCCAGCCAGCATCTTTGTTGTCCGTTATCATAGTCAGAATTCAACCCTTGTTGCCGCAGCTTTTGCCTGCGCTCTTGTTGGTACCATAATATACAGCGCTCTTCGTATTCAGCGCTCGTAGTTCCGCGTCTAACATTGTAAGCGAGCGCACCAAGAAAGAAAGCTCTTTCTTCTGCGCTCGCCTCCCTTCTTGCGTTATTCGTATCGACCGTCACTCGACCTAAAAGTCTCAGCGCGGTTTTCAATCAAGACGTCCATCGTCAGCAGGGACTACTAGTAAGAAACCTCTCAGCACAACGATCGCCTCGAACGGGAAAGCCTCGGAGCTCGTGCAGAGACCAGGGCATTCCTTTAGATCATGGCAAGCACAAAGGTTCCCCGGCCCGTACAAGGACGACCCAGTCAGCATCCTGGGAAAGACACGGGCGATAACTAAGGCAGTCGAAGCCTCCCCCTGCTGATGCGGGGTTGGTAGCCCAGCCTTGGGTTTGTAGGACAGCTCCGTTCACACTATCGCGCCAACCCCCTCAGTAAGCAACGCGAGGCCTTCGTGGCAACAACACGTGCCTCCGTGAGCTTTTGTCTCATGAAACTCATCGGGGTGTCGAAACCTCAGTAAAGTGATCGACGTAGAGAGAACGATTCATTTTTTTATGGCAACGTCTTGGGCTGTTTTTTACTTACGAATATTTTTATCCCTACCAACCGTCTGCGCAGGCACCAATAGCAGCCCTCGCGGCTATCGCTGACAATGACGTCGCTCTTCTCTCTGGCAACTTACTGCTTGCCACGTTACACTGCAAGTTGGAACCCTCCGCAGCATTGTATGAATGTCCACTTTTGCGCTGACCACTGATACAAAATAATGAACCATAATATTAAAAGCGTTTACAATGCCTTTTATTTTCCAAAATGCGCAGCCCCAACAGACCAACCAGGGCAGAGCTCCTAGGAGGGCACATTAGCCCCAGGCATTCGCTATTCTGACACTGCCGGTTTGGAGAACACTCTCGAATCTTAACTGCCGTGACGTGTGCACGACATCACTTTTACTTGGTGTTGCCCTTGGTGCTGGTACTGCCGCTGGTGCTGGTGCTGGCGCTGCCGCTGGTGCTGGTGTTACCCTTGGTGCTGGTGCTGCCGCTGGTGCTGGTGCTGGTGCTGCCGCTGGTGCTGGTGCTGGTGCTGCCGCTGGTGCTGGTGCTGCCGCTGGTGCTGGTGCTGGTGCTGGTGCTGCCGCTGGTGCTGGTGCTGGTGCTGCCGCTGGTGCTGGTGCTGGTGCTGCCGCTGGTGCTGGTGCTGCCGCTGGTGCTGGTGCTGGTGCTGCCGCTGGTGCTGGTGCTGGTGCTGCCGCTGGTGCTGGTGCTGGTGCTGCCGCTGGTGCTGGTGCTGCCCTTGGTGCTGGTGCTGCCGCTGGTGCTGGTGCTGCCGCTGGTGCTGGTGCTGGTGCTGCCGCTGTTGCCGTTGCCGTTGCCGTTGCCGTTGCTGTTGCTGTTACCGTTGCCGTTGTTCCAGTTGACGGAGTGGGCCTTGTCGTAAGCCGCCGAGTCCGCGTCCGCCTGGTCCGCAACAGCCTTGAGAGAGTCGGATCTCGCCTTGGTATTTTTGTAGATAATCTCGGCCTGGGCGCGAGCAGAAGCGGCCTGTCCGAGCGCCACCTTGTTATCCTTCGTGACCTTAGCCGCGTTTAACGTCTTCACCTTAACGTCGGCCGTGAGCGAATTGATAACAGCGGGCAGCGTTTTCGTGTCGTTGAAGTATTTGGTGTACGTGGCTTCCGCATCTGCCGCGTCCTTCTTCGCCTTGTTCAGGTCGGGCAGGTGATCTTGCACTGCCTTCTTCGTGTCAACCTTGTCCTTCATCGCGAAGGCGAAATCGGCCTGCATCGACTCCAAGGCATCCTTCGCGAGCGCCACCTGCCTCGTAAGCGCCCCTTTAATACGATTCGCCTGAGCGCGGGCTAACTGCGCTTCGGCGGCCTCTGCCTGCGCTGCCGGTGTCTTGAGCTTCGCGGCGCGTCGCGCGTAGTAGGTGGAATCGGCGGTGGCCTCCTGGGCGATGAGGATCTGGTCCGCAAGCAGCTGATTGGCGAGGTCCAGCTGCTGCTGCGCGGGGACGAGGTCCTTTTCCAGCTCTGCCGCGTCGATGTCCGACTCCACCGCTTGCTGCTGAAGCTCGTCGTGGTAGTCCTGCTCCGCCTTCCTCGCTGCTCGTTGCTTCATCATCTCCTGACGTGCTGGCTCGACCTTGACCTTCGCGTCATCCAGCTGCTGCTTTCTAGCCGTGAGATTCGTCTGGGCGTTATTCAACGCAGCGTTCGCGTCGTCGATGATCTTCTGAATCGCAGCCTCCGCCTTGAGCTTGTTGTTGTAATCCGCCAGGGTTGCATTCGTCACAGCTTCAGCATCGAGAAAAGCTTTCCGGGCCGCTTGCGCCTTGATCGCCAAATATGACTGGGCATCCGCTCCTGAAAAATTCGACACGACCAGAGCAGAAACGAGAACCAAAGCCACAAATGAAATGTAGAACCTAGCCATAGCTTGATGCCTGATGGTAATTGCTGTCAGTAAAGCAGGTATTGCGAGAACTGATTTAAGCCGATAACTTATGATTGATGGTGAATGAGACGGGCACGAGGGATATATAGGTGGGTGGAATTCCATTCCATTCCATCATCCCCCAGGGGGCTTTTGTTTGGTGTGGTGTGGAGCAGGTTGGAATGCCCACAAACAGTTTCACAGCATCGTACGCGGCTCGCAGTTGCGCGCCTCGGTTTGGAAGAACCCACACGACTTGCACACACACCCCCAACAAGTGCATGTTGCTCCAGACCGATGGGTTCTGTGGGACGAATTTTATCCAAGGTAACACTCATGTAGAGTTCGGTATAAATTTGAAAGTGGCAGGTTCTACATCCTTAGGAGTTTTAAAACTTGTTACTCAATTACAACCGGACACCCTCGTCCTACGTATTGCGAATCTGTGGGCGGTATCCTAAATACTGATGGGGTCTGTGGGACGAATTTTACAACTTATAACAGATGGGGTATGTGGGACGAATTTTGTCCATGGTACAACACTCTTGTAAAGTTGGGTATGCATTTTTAACTAGCTGGTTCTAAGTCTTTATGGTTTTTAACTAGCTGGTGAATCAGAAGAAAACCTCCTCGAAAACCACCCGCGGTTTCAGAGGACGGGCTGATCCAATGCGACGATCACTTCGTCGAATTCACCACGTCGTCGCAGAGAATGCCTACGCCCAAGCGAGGGCGGGGCCTTTCACTCCGACATCTTCTGCAGTTCGGACTTCACGTCTGCCAAGGCAACCCTGTCAGCAGTGGCGAAAACCAGGTCGTCGACGTAGACCAGAACAAAGAAAGGTGTGGAGCCACGACGAACGAACAGCGACGGGTCGGCAGAAGACGGCTGGAAACCAAGGTCAGAGAGGGTAGAACGAAGGGTGTCGTGCCACTCACGAGGAGCCTGACGGAGACTGTAGACAAGTCGCCTTAGCCTCCACTGGGTCCCAGGAGGGAAAGTGCCAGTGAAGGCAGAGGGACGACGCAGCCAGACCTCCTCGTGTAGGCTACCCTGAAGAAAAGCAGTGGAGAAGTCGAGAGAGTGTAACTCGTAGTCTCTCTGTGCTGCTACGTGTAGTAACACCCGAAGAGTGGTCATCTTCGGGGTAGGCGCGAAGGTCTGAAAGAAGTGGATTCCCTCACGCTGACTGAAACCTCTAGCCACGTAGCGCGCCTTGAAGACTGGAGGAGATCCCGGTGGCCGCTTCACCCTGTAGATCCACATGCCATCGACTACGTTCGCCCCAGGAGGGGGATGTCAAACATATGCTGCATATTGTCTAGGCTGTAGTGGAGTAGTCCACATGGGGTAAAACCCAATTAAAGTTTACTACTTGTACTCCTGCATGCTGTTAGTTCATTCATTCCCTGCTGCTAGATTCTAACATGGTTTCAGAGCACTAAGGTCCGTAGGACCGTTTTTTTTCGGGCCCACCTACCGCTGCGGTTACCATGCTAACCCACGTACCTGCCTGCCGTGCCTTGCCTTGTGCCGTGCTGCACTATGTGCGCCGTCCAGCAGCCCTAGTGCTGCCTCCTGCTGCCCTAGGCCAGCGCGCTGCCCCTGCAGGCCCGTAAGGCCCGCGCGCCGCCCCTGGAGACCCGTCACGCCCGCGAGCTGCCCCTACAGGCCCTTCAGGTCCGCGAACCGCCCCTTCAGGCCCGCGAACCGCCCCTACTGCCGCGCGCTGCCTGCACCGAGCCCGCGCAGCCCGCTGCTGCCGCGCGCTGCCCGCACCGAGCCCGCGCAGCCCGCGCCGAGCCGCGCGCAGCCCGCTGCTGCCGCGCGCTGCCCGCACCGAGCCCGCACAGCCTGCGACGAGCCGCGCGCAGCCTGCTGCTGCCGTGCGCTGCCCGCGCCGAGCCCGCGCAGCCCGCGCCGAGCCGCGCGCGGCCCGCTACTGCCTCGCGCGGCCCGCGAGCGGCCCGCAGCAGCCCGCGCCGAGCCGCGCGCGGCCCGCTACTGCCTCGCGCGGCCCGCGCGCGGCCCACAACTGCCTCGCGCAGCCCACTGCTGCCTCCCGCAGCCCGCGCCGCCCGCGCGCGGCCAGCTGCTGCCCTGCGCCCCGCTCACGCCGACCCGCCTGGCCGCGGAAGCAGCCCCGACCTGCTGCTGCCGCGGCCCGGCCCTGCAGCTGCCTCGGCCCCGACCTGCCGCTGCCACGACCCGGCCCTGCAGCTGCCTAGGCCCCGACCTGCCGCTGCTGCGGCCCGGCCCTGCAGCTGCCTCGGCCCCGACCTGCCGCTGATGCGGCCCCGACCTGCTGCTGACGCGTCCCCACTCTGCCTCTGCAGCTGCTGCGGCCCTACTCTGCAGCCGCTGTTGCGACCCCGCCGTCGCCCGTCGAGCGCCGGCCCTGCTCGCCCGGCGAGCGCCTGCCCTTCCAGCCTTTGGTGAGCACCTGCCTGCCTGCCTGCCTGCCTGCCGGCCTGCCTGCCTGCCTGCCTGCCGGCCTGCCTGCCTGCCTGCCTGCCTGCCTGCCTGTCGGCCTGCCTGCCTGCCTGCCTGCCTACCGGCCTGCCTGCCTGCCTGCCTGCTTGCCTGCCTGCCTGCCTGCCGGCCTGCCGGCCTGTCTGCCTGCCTGCCTGCCGGCCTGTCTGCCTGCCTGCCTGCCTGCCTGCCTGTCTGCCGGCCTGTCTGCCTGCCTGCCTGCCTGCCTGCCGGCCTGTCTGCCTGCCTGCCTGCCGGCCTGCCTGCCTGCCTGCCGCGCCTGCCCTGCCCGAGCTGCTGCGGCTACTCCTGCTGCTAGGAGGTGGCCAGATGCATCTTTAGCGACGTTCTTGCGAGTCTCTCACGCCCCAGCAGCTTAGTGAGTGGTATACTAGTTGGGGCTGTCGCGCTGGCCGTCGTAGCTGTCGCCCTGGAGCTGGTCAGTTGGGGGCGTCTGGCAGTGGCCAGCTGCAGCTGCAGCGGTGGCCATGCGAGACGCTTACGTCCCGGCAGCTCCATGAGTGGTTCGCTCAGAGTAGCAGGTCTACGCGTACAGTTCGCTGCCCGTACGTCATTCGCACAGGTGCTAGGACTGGTCAGCCTTGTGGGACGCTTGGTCACACACAGTCCCGCTGCTTCGCCCGTCTGAGCGACGCCTGGCGTACCGTGTTTGGAGACGAGGCTGAGCTCCCTGCCTGGCCGGAGCTGCTTGGACAGAGGGTAGATATCTTTGCACTTGACTATGATGCTATTCTCACTGCCATGTATGCATTACCTACTAGTGTTGACCGTGCCTGTTACCTGTGCTTCCTGTCTGACCTTAGTATAGCGCCTGCTGCTTACGGTACTGGTGAGGCTGCTGCTCTAGGTGCTCGTGCGTCTCCTGCTCTAGGTGCTGGTGAGGCTGCTGCTCTAGGTGCTGGTGAGTTTGCTCTCTCTGGTACTGCGCCTGCTGCGGTCTTGCACACCTTCACCCTTGACTCAGGAGCTTCCCGCTCTTTCTTTCGCGACTGCACCACACTCACGCCGCTCAGTCGGCCAGTTCCGGTCTCCCTGGCGGACCCCTCTGGGGGTCCAGTCCTTGCCCACTACTCCACGGTTCTGCCGTGTCCGGCCGTCCCGTCTGGCTTCCTGTCAGGTCTTTACCTCCCCTCGTTCTCTACGAACTTGGTGAGTGGAGCTGACCTCCAGGATCACGGGGTTGACCAGTTCACTCCTGCGAGTCAGCGAGTGACTCACTGTACGTGTGCTCGGACGGGCCGACACTTGGCCACGTTCACCCGTGCACCTGGCTCGAGTCTGTACACACTGACCACTGAGTCCCCTCAGGTAGCTGCGTCTGCGTCTACGTCTGGTCAGCTGGCGGCCCCCTGCGAGTGTCGCGCTTTGTCGCACGACACTCTCCTGTGGCACCACCGCCTTGGTCACCCCTCCCTGCCTCGCCTTCGTAGCATGCACTCTCGCTCCCTGGTTTCTGGTCTTCCCAGGTCTCTACCTGCCCTCCCTCCCTCGCCTGCGCCGCCCTGCATTCCTTGCGTCGAGGGGCGGCAGCGCGCCGCTCCTCACTCCTCCTCGTTCCCTCCCACAGAGGCTCCCCTGCAGACTCTCCACCTGGACGTGTGGGGCCCGGCCCGCGTCCGTGGACAGGGCCACGAGCGGTACTTCCTGCTGGTCGTCGACG